TAGTTTATCGAAAAGTTTATTCAATTGAGTTAGTATAGATAATCAGATGTTTTATTTTCAGAGAGCAATCTGAAATATTGCCAAGAAAGTAGTTCTCTAAAAATGCTAGCTAAAGCTAGGCATGCACAAAAACATATACCAGTGACCTGAAATAACTTGAATTAGCCTAGCAATACGAACTCGGTCCCTAATAATAAGTTTTTTAAACCTAGTCTTATTGTATAAAGGCCAGGTCGACTGGACTCACATTTCAGGAGCCTATATAAGAGTGCTGTCCGCGAAAAACATGTTAGTGAAAGATTTTGTCAAAAAGGCATTACAGCAAAATTAAGAACTCACGAAATCTACTATTCTCGTTTAACTTTGAAATTAATTTTTAGGTAAAAATTCTCTACGTACATCTCAAAAATTATGTATATCAGTAATGATATTAGTTCTGCCCATTATAGATACTATTGAAGTATGATCTGCTTCATCACGAGACTAAGCGAAATATATAAAATATTGTGGCAGTATACTTCCAACTTATAAATAATTTTTTGCAGCGTCGTTATATCGTCAGCCAGTAAGACAATGTCGTCGGCATACATTAAAGTTCGAATGTTTAGTTCTTCTATCTGTCTGCCTCCTTCCAAAAAATCATGTAAATCATAGATATAAAGAACAAACAAGTGTGGTGATAATATACAACCTTGTTTCACTCCGCTTATAGCTGAAAACTCATTAAATAGGTCTCTCCCAGTCCATACTGCGCATTTAGTGTTCGAATACACATTTTCTATAAAACGGACCATTTTAGTTGAGACTCCAGCTGCGTGAAGCTCTTAACTATTGCCTTTCGAAAGACCTTATCGAAGGCTGCATTAAAATCTACAGAAAAGGCATACGTTTTCTTATTGTTTTTAAAATTTATCTGTTCTATTGATAACAAGTTGTAAATATTATTCACTGTAGAATAATTTTTCCGGAACCCAGCCTGAAATTCGTTTATTATTCTATTACTTTTGGTCCAAATTGTTCGCCTGTCTGTTACTGTTACCCATCATCACTTTTGCAATACAATTCATAAAGGATATTCC